TGCAAAATAACACACATGTAAATCAGATGCCTTCACTGCTGAAAAATCACAATGTCAAGGTGTACTTCATGTATCATGAGAGGACTTCTCTGGGAGCTCAAAGCTTGACTGTAAGAAAAATAAAGGCTGCATCCACTCATTTAGAGCTCAGTGAATACATCCAGTATATTCTTTGATAAGTTATATTAATTATTTTAATAAAATGCGTTTCATGGGAAATAATGTATCTGCATGTGCATTTAAAATAAATAAATAAAAATAAACTCATAGCACGTGGTGTGGGGAGAGGTCCGCAGCAGGAATTCATTTGAAAAATGTGAACTTTTTTTAAGGGTTGCATTAATTCGGTATAGCAGGTCCGATATCAGCTCCTCAACAATATGAAACATGTAATGAGCCCTACTTTATTCGAATGAATGTTATCAATAATTTAAAAACACGGTTCCAATAGCTTATAGAATTCGATATTACACCATGTCTGTTTTTTTCTTTTCTTAAAATTCCTAATACCCGACAAAAAAACATTAAAACGAAAAAAAAACTTTGTGGTATCATCGTGTGATATTCTGTGCAAAGAGTGATGCATCCCAATATTTTTCCCATGCATTTACCTGTATGACCATTATCAACCTTCATTCAGTCCGCTGCAGTGATATAGCATTCAGTATCATTCAGTCATCTTTCGTGAATTCTCGGTTTGGAAATAACTTTTAGGAGGTTAAAAAAAGTGTCCTACCGTCAGTGTCGAAATGTTTCCAAATGTCGAGGAACTGGGACGCGGTGACCTCGGCCAGGTGCAGGTGAGGAGGCTGCTGTGCTTTGTTTGCCATGATGCTGCCGACGGATGCTGCTGCTGCAGGTCAGACGCCAGAAAAAATCCGCTACTAACTTTTTCTGTGGCTCTTGTTCAAACACACCCCACACTGTGGCCCCAGCGCGCCGCCCGCCGCTTTTTAACCCCGGCGCAGGAGCAGCTGCGCCGCTGCACCGCCGCTAGGGGCGCACTGCCACCGACAGCATCCATCTGAGTCAGCTTCTCTCTCTCTCGCTTTCTTTCTCTCTCTCTGTGCGCGCGCATGTGTGCGTGTGTGTGTGTGTGTGTGTGTGTGTGTGTGTGTGTGCTCTCAAGTTTGATGTGATTGTGAGATGGGACTGGGCACTGCAGTGGACAGACTGATGTGTGTGTAAGAGAGAGATGAGAGAGATGCAGATAGTGAGCAGATTGTTTTGTTGTTGCATCATCATGCTTTATAGTAGATTTCGTGTGTGTGTGTGTGTGTTTGTGTTGTATGTAAATTCACATATGTCTTTATGCATTTGAAGCGCATGCGTGTGTTTCTGTGCATGCAAGCAGACCTAGTGTGTTCCTTCCTACATCTGTGTGTGTATTTAAGCGTGCAGCTCCCCAAGCCTGTCTGCCAGTGTGTGTGAGGCTTCACAGACTTAATTAGAACTCACACACTAATCACATTTCCCACACTGCCTCCAGCCAGCAGTGATTAGCCCACATAATAAATGTAAATTCTGGGGAAAAAAAGGGAAAAGAACTTTTTCATTAATGGCCAGTCTGCTGTGCAGAGGGGCAGGCAAAGCCACAGATCCTATTACGGGAATGAGGATGAAAAAAATTTACTCATATATATTTCTTCAACTCATTTACTGCAAGAGGTGATCATATTCAGGATAAAGTAATAAGACTGCAATCAGCAGGAGGGCAAGTATCCCTAGAAGCATTTTCCTGCTGTTGGATGAAATCTGCAAATAGACATCTTTCTACACGTGAAGAATATTAATATTTTTCAATTGACTCTCAAATGTTGAGAGAAGTGGGTGTGTTTAATCATTAGGCTATGGTTCAGTGTTGGTACACCATGTGCTTTTTTTTGCTACATTTCAAATCTCTGCTGTGAAAATGGCAAAGTCTACACAATTCACTGTGTCATTAAAGTTGTGTCAAAACTCAAATCATCTTATTCAGTTCAATTTATAAAAAGTACACTTTAATATTTGTTTGGCCACTAGGGGCAGCGCAGCCGGCTGTAAACGCAATACTGACATATGATCACTTTATAAGTTATTATGCTAAAGGTGTTAGCAAATGGCTGGCTCTATTTACACATCCAACAAGCGCAGAGCAACATGAGCATCCATTCTAAGTTGTGTCTCTGGCCAACTGGCTAATGTAGCGTAAAGATGCTGTCATACTGCCACGTGGTAACCACCCTGACAACTGCATACCTGTAGGAGCGTTCCCCCAAACAGGAAACTATCTTAAGTGGCTGCTGCCACTACCATTCACAGCTGTGATTACATGCAGGTGTTGGGGAACACCAGCAGAAGTGCAAGCAAGTTTGAAAGTTTGCATACTCGGACAATTTATCAGTCATCTGAAGTTAGGTGGAAGTGTTATCCCAGGCCCAGTTTTTCCTCTGGTTGTCCTTATAAGTTGCTAGCACTGTAACTCTAGGTATTCAGTCACTAAACTTATCAGCTCCTCCATCCTATCTTCTTTCTGCTTCTGCGATGCCCACCATTAGATCGGCCAATGCCAGGTTGCAACCGCCAGAAGTTCAACACGGTGAGATCTGCTTGACAGAGCAAACTCTGTGTGCATCCACATGGGCGGCAACCAGTGGTGTATTGGAGGGTATACTCAGGTATACAGGTATACCCACTTCATCAATTACCACTACACCACTGACGGCAACTGCTTCATATCTCTGCTGCCCCATAAGGGGGGCTTTCACATCAGGGACACATGCCTGTATCCAAGTAAACTTGATCCCAAAGTCCTGTTTATTTAATTGGTGTGAATGTTGTGTACCATACGCACTTGGAAAGGTGGTCTTGAGCATGATTTGTGCGTAGTCCATTACAGTACACATCAGGTGTGATCACCAACTTTACCAAAACATTCAAGCAGACTGCTATTCAATGCAACTACAAGAAGTTTTTGTTTGTTTGTTTGTTTTTTAAATTTACCAGTTATGAAACAGTCTCAATCTATTTCTGATGCCTTTATAGGAGACGGCAGCACAGCAATCGTACCTGGGCACAGTACAGATCCATTGTGCCTAATATGAAAATGCCCTAAGTCACTCCTCTTTTTGTTTTCACTAACTCCTGAGGTCATGGATGGATTACTGAACAGGCCTACTGGGCACAGGCCCAGTGGCCCCCATAGCCTTAACCTGCAAAATATCACTCAAATTGACACGTACTAGGAAGAGACTCAAAATGACGACATAGAGAAAAAGGCCACACAGAGGTACAGAGGTACTGCAAAGACGTGAAATAACTACAAATAGAGAGAAAACCATGAAAAAATGCATAGAGATGATAAAGAGATGCAAAACAAAAGAAAAATTAGGCAAAACCACCACAAAGTCTGCATATGTTGCTCCTATGTAGGCCAGGTGGTGGGACCTTTTCAGGTTGGTTGGGTTGGGCCTTTTGCATATTTGTGCCCAGGGGCCCATTGTCTCATGATTCGACCATGCCTGCGGTAAATATCTATCTCTAGCAGCTAAATGTTTGCTAGCTGGTAAAATGTTGGTGAATACGCTTTTTCCAAAGTTAGTTGAGAAGATCAACACCTCGCTGCACTGCATGGTAGGTATGGAGCTAGTGCAAAGAGGCAGTTAGCCTAGCTTAGCATAAAGACTGAATGCAGGGGGTGCAGCTGGCTTTGGCTTTGCTCTCTCCAAAGTTCCAAAATATGCTAATTAACACGTGAAAAGCTCACCAATTTATATGATCCATCTTGTTTCTTTAATCCAACCTCAAACACAACACTTATCTATATGCCCAGCACTGGCAGTGTGCTGTGCATTCTGTATTTTCAGTGCTATAAATCAAGGTTACCCCAGTTGAAGCTAAAGCACTGAGGGCAAATAATTAAGATGATCTGGACAAACCAAGTTGGCACCATCATGCATACAGATGCATTGTTGAACTTGACCTGTCACGTCTCCTCAGAGGTGGGGCAGTAATTTTCCAGATCCACTCTGCATGCTGGAACAGCACAGTGCTGACATGCTGCTGGCAGCCGACTCCTTTTGGAGGCGGCGTGTGAAAGTCAGCGGAGACATTCCCTCAGCGACGCTATTTCTTACGCTTGTAAAAGTCACATTCACTAACAGTAGCGTTGCTGTCTCATAGACTGTGTGAGCTCAGGTACATGACAGTGCATAAGAACAGCTTGTGTGTGTGCAAGAGTGTATAAGAGTGTAAACTCAGCAGAGCTGTCCTGTTCTATTTCCTCAGCTTCTCTTTTCACCCTATAATAATCAATAGTGGGCTCTGGGCTCTGTTGGCACTGCGACAATAGATAGATCAACATTATATTACAGATGAAGCCTGTCGCCAGCCTGCAGGGACTGCCGACTCAAACACACTTCATTCTCCTCTCTTACTCTCTTTAGTCACTCCTATCGTCTGTCTTTATCTGTGTGTCTGGTCTACCACTTCCCTCCATTCAAAGCAGAGAGCCTGATATTTGCATCCTACATGCATATCTTTGTAGACATCTCACTTTTAGCTTGGAGTTGTGAGGCAGCTGTGTGTACGTGTGCAAATACAATCCAGCCCAGTAAAGGTGTTGTGTTGTCGGGCTGCCTGGTTCATTTGTATTAATATTTCAGCACCACAGTGGGTTGTATGTAGATGAATTATGTAACAGAAAGGAGCACGGCACGAAACAGCCATTTCCACTTCATCTCAATCTCACAGCGTCTTCATCTGTTTGAGGTGTGTTTAAAGTTAAGGATTGAGGGAGTGAAGCCGAGGATATACAAAGAGTGGATGCTTTGCTGAGATGCGTGTGTTTTATCTCATTGCTTTTCACAGATATCGCCCTGTTCACCGATCATCATTATTGCTGGTAGAAACTCTTTTTCTCCTTGAAAACAGCCACACTGATTGATTCTGGGGACATAACCCCTCAGTGCACACTCACACACACTTACACTCATCCATGACAGAAAACACCAGCACCCCAATGTCATCTGCAAGTTTTTATTTGACAGCAGCAACATTTGGTATGAAAAGAAATAATTATAAATCAAAACAGACATAGTAGATTTATCCTTTTGGTGAATTTGTTTCTAACCTGAGACCTGGATATAGTAAATATGAGTCAACTGAGCATAGTATATATAGTTACTATTTAGTCTAGGATATACAAAGGTGCGGAAGACTTCACAAACCAGACATTAGGAGACTAACAAAGAAGCAAAATGCAAAATTTGGAGTTGTGCCCATACAGGAAAGTAGTGAGAGTGATCGTGCTTGTTTAAAATGAATCAACTGAATGTAAATTTCCCTGTTTATTGTGTATGGAGCAGATCCAGATTTTACATTTCAATGATGGCAGGCTTCACTCTGAGTGGAATTCCCCTTTAAGACTTCCATTAGCATCTTGATGTAAAGCCTGATACAAATGGCCTAAGAGGTGGACTGCTGATCTAGGGTTTCTCGGGCCTTTGCAGCTTTAATGAATGAGATGGTCAAGGGGACCTGGCAGCAGGTTCCAGATTGAAAACTGCAGGCCGAGGTATTATAGCTCTCCCTGATATTACAGTGCTGTGGTCTCTTGTTGTACAAATAAAATGCATCCAAATGCAATCCACCCCAGAAAAAAACCTTCATACATCCCTACTGCTTCACCAAATTAGCCTTTGATTCAAGGCATTTCTTTCAGATTACATTGTGCTTATATTGTGGACAGGCTTCTCAGACACTGATTCAGCTAAAACTTCACTGCCTTCTTCAGTGGATACCCAATAAGGCTTTGGATTGACATGTCATTTCCATTTCATCATATTTTTTCATCAATAAATACATTAGATAATTAAAATAAGTGATTTGTCTATTTAAAAAATAAACTCTGATTTCACAGTGGAGTGTAAATATACTCACTTTGATTTATAGCTTAAATAAGTATTTATTGTACATCATTATTAACAAGCAATCACACATAAAGGAATGTAGATGCCAGCTACTCCCAGTGATCCTTTTTGATTACAAGAGTTATTCTATATGTTCTCTATTTAGCAGCTACTATAATGTAGATTCACTTCTAAGACACTGCTGGAGAAGGAACTGGCTGTGTCCTCTATCCCTGCACCAACATGTCAAGGCCAACGCATAAGTGCACAGTGTCGTCTGAAATATCTTCGAATACATCTTAAAGGGACAGTTCACCCCCAAATCAAAAATACATACATTACCTCTGACCTGTAGTGCTATTTATCAGTCAAGATTGTTTTGGTGTGAGCTGCTGAGTGTTGGAGGTATCGACCATAGAGACGTCTGCCATCTCTTCAATATCATGTGTCTAGATGGAACTCGGCTTGTGGTGCTCAGAGTGGCAAAAAAATACATTTTAAGCATTGCAAGCAAAGTGCCATCTTGTTCCAACAATGTAGACTGATAAATAGCACCACAGGTAAGAGGGAAATATGTATTTTTGATGCTGAGGTGAACTGTCCCTTTAAGCTAGCAGCTACGCATTCATAGGTGGTGGGTGCATACATTGCTCTTGCTAAAGGCAAAGAAGACATACAGCATGTATTCATATAACAAATGTAAGTATAAATGCTGGAGGGTATCACTCTAGGAGTCATTAGTAATGAACAGTCGTGTCTTACATTGAAGATTTTGTTTAGACACACTCAAATATACAGTACAAGTTCAGCCATCAGAGAGGTCCCAGTCATGTTGTATACTGCCACTCCAGCCTTAACAGGTAGTACTGTAAAGGGAAATCCCAAACAACCCTGCAGCACCAATGCAGGATAAAAATACATACCAGTGGGGGTTGTACAATAGCCACAGCTGTATTCCTGTTACATTTATTGATCCATGATCTGGGATATACGAGAACATGGTCATTTTTAAATAAGGGAATGTTATACTGTAATCGTAAGCAGTCACCACAATAATCTGGATTTGAATTTAAACACACAACAAAAGTCAATATATCAACTACGGATTGGATAGACGCCCAACAAACACTACTTTCACAACATTTCTTCAGTCTGGTTTTCAAGTCTCATGATTCAAGCACGACACTTGTTGTTACAGAGCAACTTTACTTGAAAATTATGTTTTGTTTTATTTTCTCCAGTGGTTTAACTTTGCTGCGTTGATGTAAAGTTTGCTCAAGGGTGTGTTGGTACACCATGACATCACTGCTGGGTGTGGTTACAGGTGTATTCTTCTGACCAAACAAACAACAGGCGACAGGGATGCATGACGCTTGTCGTGAAATGTATCTGAAATTCTCAAAAAGCAAGGTAGTGAAACACTTGATCCTGCTGTTCAGAATCCTCTGCTAATTAACATTAGATGATTGGACTGTGCTAAACCAAAAACTGTCAAAAAAATTAAATAAAATCTAAGCCAGTCATTGCCTTCTATTAAAACTTTTACATTAGGCCAATTGTTGCTTTTCCAGTTTATAGATTTTACACCTCTGAAGAACAAATTTAGCTAGTGGTCAGATATATATAAAGTCGGCATGAATGTGATTCATGGAGACTGGATCCAGGGTTGTGAAAGTTTTGCTGTGATAGCACTGAATTGCAAACTAGACAATGTTGTCATAAATCATCAATGCTGCAGTCTATCACAAGTACCATATTGACAACATGTTTTTCTTTAATCTGCCCTCCACCTTAAAACCTTATCACTCACTCCACCTGATAACCACGACAGCCAATACAATACCCAAGTAAATAATAACTCATCCATACCTGACCAGTTCACCATCTGCACCTACATTTTTTTACCTTTGTTCAAAGCTATGATTAGTCACCGGTGACTTCATTGTGAGGCTGGATGTTTTTTTTTGTCAGCAGATTTCAGATGAAGGTACTAGATCTTAGTGATGAGTTGGCTGACGAGCTTCTGGAGGTCCTGGGTTCTGCGCTCAGTGGTCTTCAGCACCTCCTCATGGTTTGCCTTCTCACTGCTCTCATAATCTGTCACGACCTTGTTGGTGATGAGGGACAGACCCAAGACACGCAGGCCGCAGTGACGAGCCACCACCACCTCTGGCACTGTGCTCATACCTGGACAGAGGGAAGAAAGTATTTTTTTCAGGTGCACTGATTAATCATGAGTGTAACAATAATAATACTACTAATCATAAGAGGAGGAGCCGTAGGGCTGCTCCCTGAAAGTAGAGGATTGGAATCATCATTTGGGGGCCCCCTCAGTCAACTCAGATTTCATTTAGAAGTCAAGCAGTTGTTTTTTGTGTTTGTTTTTTTTGTCAGTCAGTGTGCAGTGTACTTCTGGGGAAATGTTGTAGCTGCAGAGTCAGCATTCCTCACTTTCACACTGCTCTCCGGAGTAAAATCATTACACTACGTCAAGTCAGCTTGGTGAAGATGTCTCGCAACGGGTACAGGCAGCTGCGGACACGGACCAAGGGAGAGTCTGAGTGAGACGTATGCAGCTGTGAGATGAAGAGAGGCTTTGCACGGTCAGGTTTTAAGATAACATTATCTTCTGCCTTCTGCTTAGAGGTGCTCACAGCAACTTAATACTATACAGTCTCTGCTTTTTCTAACATCTAGAGTCGGCAAAAAAATGTTGCACATTTCTGATCTTAGCATTGTTAGCATGCATTAGCTCAGAGCACTAACTTGGCTTGTTTTCTATGTAACGTGGATGTAGCTGTCCCCCTGAACGTCTCGCTGAACTCGGTTAAAAAATCTGACAGTCCAATAAAGTTGCTTAATAAATATGTAGGAGAAAAGGGAAAAATAGTCAAATATTCATATTGAACAGCCAAATCCCATTTGACTAACAAGATAAAAGGGACAATCCTGTGATTTAGTATTGTACTTTCACAAAATTGGGACTCTAAAAGAGGCATATACTCTTCACATGTGTAGGTTTATCTGCCTGCAAAATACAAACACAGATAAATAAATAACAAAACATAATTTGTATTTTAACCCCACCTTTGAAAAAAGAGAAAAGTAAGCCATAAATGAGTAGTGGAAATAAAACAGGAGGTTTAAACATTGGAAAACAGACACAGAGACAGTTGGACTGTTTGCATTGGGCCATACAAAGGCTGTGTAAATAATTGGGAAGACAGCCAAATAACAGTGTCTATGGCAAAAAATATGAGAGAGATAATAATAAATAAGGCCATAATAGCTCATTGGGTCATGTTGGTATCCAGTCATAGCTAAGGGTTATGGTCCATGAGGGGGAAAACGGTCCTTTCCTACACAACAACTCTGTAGCATGGTAGCAAATGCTTTGTTTTACCCAGCGGCATAAAAAGATGTGACGCTTTGTGGGTGTTCTCACAAATACCAACTGGATCTATTGCAGACTTAAAAAAAGAAAAAAAAAAAAAGAATGGAGGTTACAAATGCAACGGGAGGGGGTCCAGATGAGATAAAAGTTGCTTTGTGGTGTCTATGAAACAAATTGAGAAAGCAGTTGACACACTTCTGAAAAGACCTCTTAGGGTGAGGTGCCAGCTTTCATGACATAAAAATATAAACGCAACACCAGCCAAGCTTTATCCTGCACTGCCAAACACATCTGCTGAAAGGTTACTGAGGATAAATAAAGTGGAATTTTTTAATGCTGAAGCCATAACTACCCACACCTATAGCCTATTTGTTGACATTTCGGCAACGCTGCTTCTATTCCAGGGGAAATTCGACTGCAAAAATCTCAAATGCTATTTCTATCTATATCAGAGTGCATTATCTGTTCTTATTTGAATAATGAATTCATATTGATTGAAATATCCCTAGTAAGCTGTTGTAAATGCACTGTTGAGAGACTGTCCTACAACACATCAGTATCCTTTTAAGTGAGCACGAGAGAGCTGTACTAACCCACAGCATCAGCCCCCAGCATCTGCAGGGCTCTGCACTCTGCAATGGTCTCATATGTCGGTCCAGCCAGCATGCAGTACACCCCTTCCTGCATGAAGCTGCCGCAGTTTTGCTCCTCTGCTGTTTGCTTGGCCAGAGTCCTCAGCTCACGGTCATACGCATCCGACATGCAAGGGAAGCGCACTCCAAACCTGGAGACGTGAAATGAATGAATGTGACACAGCAAAAAGACAGATGTATGTTTCACTTTCATAGTCCTGCCCTGGTGTTGGTGCTATACCTTTCATCATTGTGCCCACAAAGCGGGTTCTGCCCTGCAAAGCCAGGCATGTTAATATGATCCTTGATGAGCATGATGTCTCCCACATCGTAGCTGTCATTGAGCCCTCCTGCGGCGTTTGTCACAATCAGAGCTTCCACACCCAGCAAATAGAAGACTCGCACCGGGTACGTCACCTGGAGGGACAGACATGCTCTGCTTTAGGGACAGATACTGTTGTTCTTTTATTGTTTTGATGCATATCAGATTACAAAGGGGAGTTACAAGACGGGGGTCACCTGGGAACAACGGAAGAGAAAACGCATCACTTGAGAAGCCAATATTTTAAAAAGGGACGGCGTCTGCACATACTGATGTCAGTAGACTCGAGGGGTTTTATGACTATGGGTTCTTGTTGAACTGTGCATGTCTGAAACAGTTGTGGTTCTGTACTAACCTTTATATGGCAGCCGATGGCCCATAAATGACTGTTGTTACTTCTCACTGCAGTCACATTTGGAAATTGCTTTTTCTATTTCACATTTCTCTGAAGCTTAAATTGCCTGTTAAAGTGTTTTGCTAGTTAGTGTAGAAATATTTTCATGTATCCCAGTTTCTTGATAAGGTCAGAGCTGTCATTTTGAAACACTGGTCTGTTTGATATGAGTTTTGCACATTATCACAGGGAAATGTGCTCTAAGTTGACTTGTGGCTGCATATGTAAAAGCAGGACTGTCTGTAGTTACACTGTAGCATGGAGACGTTAATAAAAGGTTAACTGCATCAAATTATTTGCCAAAAGGCTCTTGGGTGGCACTATGTGCTTGTGTTAAGCTAGTTTTCAGTCGTTAATGATTCTTTATGTCACCTGACAAGAAGGGGGAAAAAGTCACACTGAAACAGACAGAACTTAAATGAGGACAGGATTAAGAGCAAGAGAGATTAAGAGGTGCTGGTTTGGTGCTTTGAGCTTAATGCTAATGCTAACATGCTTACAATGACAATGCTAGCATGTTCATGTTCAGCATTTAGATGCCTCTGTTTAGCATTTGCATTTTGGTGTAATGTTTACTATGTAAACCATCTTAGTTTAGTGTGCTAGCATGCTAACACTTGCTAATTAGCATTAACCACAATGTACAGCTGAAGCTGATGGCTTTGTCTTCACTTAGGCTATACAGGTATTTGGCCATAGAGCAAAGTATTGGATAAGTGAAACTACAATTCCCATCTCACTGAGACACCATTAAATTTAATATATGACAGTGGTTCCAAACTGGTCCAGCCCTGGGGTCCAGATTTCCCCTTAGTCATAATTTCAAGGTCCACACAGTTTAATATTTTCAGTGTCATACTTGAGATTGGTCATGTCGTTGAGCTAGTTTGCTGTGTCTGTCAAGTAACTGTCTGTAAATCACTATCTCCACAGCAGGAGACAGCACTTAAATGTAAATAATAAATTAAAGCTTTGTTCTGGAACTTTACTGTACTTAATAATGAAGTTTGTTTTTTGCAAGTCACTTGTGGTCCATTCAGAATGTACCCACGACCCACTTTTGGACTGCGACCAACCAGTTAGGAGCCACTGCTATATGATTAATCAAACGGTATCTATGTCTCCATCTCTGTTCCTCAGTGATGGCATTGGGTAATGGCCAGAAAAAAATGTTTTTGCAGTACATTATGATGTCACAGTGGTGTTGACCTTTGACCTTTTGGATATTAAATGTCATCACTTCCTCATTATATCCTGTTAGACATTTGTGTGAAATCTGTCGGAAATTCGTCACATGAAAATCTGTTTTGTGAGGTCACAGTGAACACCAAATTCTGATCAGTTCATCTTTGAGTCCAAGTGGGCATTTGTGCCAAATGTGAAGAAATTCCTTCCATGCGTTCCTAAGATATCACATTCACGAGAATGGCACAGACAACCCGAAAACATAATGTCTCTGGCACAGAGGCACAAAAACGACTGTCAGCCTGAAATTGCTATACACAGAGCAACGCTGCTGGTGTGGCTAATAAAAACTAATTTTAATCTCAACCAATTTTCTGTTTAGTTTGCCAAGAATGTATCTATGTAATACTGTGGTGAAAATGTACCTCAGTTGGCTTGGGTGGAATCAAATTTTTTTTTTTTTAGTTCTGCTCAGTTCATGGTGATTCAGCTTGAGGTGTTTCATACATTATATCACTGTCTAAAGTCCCAACAAGGTACAGGAGGGCCATAATGCATCTGGCTTTCTACTGCTGCATGTATGAAACTGAATTTTATGATCCAGTGGGCTTATATGGATCATTTTATGTGGGGATGGCACATCACAGCTGGTAATAAAATAAATAAAACCAGGATACGGTGTCTCCACAGGTCAAAGGCCGCTCCCACGTTGACAATACGACACACCGAGTGGTTTCTCACTGTCATCACAATTCTGCAGCTGATCATTCATCACACACAGTAAATTGTTAGCCAAAGTTGGGAGCTTTACTGTGGCCTGTCTGTCATATTCAAAGTTTACACAACTTGATATTATAAAATTATAAAATCATGATCGAGGATGAGATAAAGATTAAGCGTCTCTTAGAGCAGTTTTCTCTGATAGAGATGTAAAAATATATGAAATGAAGTCTGGTCTGAAGTGTTGGATTTAAAGCTGTTACATTTACAAAACAAAAATAATACATTTTAAAGGCAGTTGGATATAAATGCTAGATGCAAATACTGCATCTACAATTATTACTAGGCCAATGCTATAATTGGAACTTAAAAAGATCTTGCACAAAATGAATGCTGTTTCTTGCAGAGTCACCCTCCGCGACTAGAACAACAGAGTCAGTGTTTGAAAGTTTAAAGATTAGGCCTCCGTACACTCACGCTGTAAATGTTTTTCTCAAAGTGACTGACAAAGTCAGAGTTTAAACTGCCAGCTTTAGTTCAGTTACCCTGTATAGTATATCATTCACATCAGCAAGGTTTCAAAATGTCGAAGCAAGTTGGCTCATGACAGAAACTGAGACAGAAAGTTGCTCACAAAGCAAGTCACAATACAACAAATAATTATGTCTGCATCTCTGCACCAAACAGCATTGACATGGATATTATTCAAATTTCATTTGAATTCATTAATTATTTAAGTAATTCCAGCATATACCAAAGTAGACAAGTCCAAAACGTAACTCTAAGATCAACACATTACAATGTTTTTAAACATGCTGGCAGCATGGATGGCAATAGTGGTTGGTCCACCACTTTGGTCTGCACTGAAATATCTCAATAACTATTAACTGGATTGACAATAGATGTGCTGACTTTTCCTTGGTACAGCAGGGCAGAATTGTCAGTGATCCTGTGAAATATCTCAATATATACTGGATTGGCAAAAACATTATACAAACTGGGATGTCATGGGAACTACTATGGGTACCAAATCAATGCCAAAGTTCTGAAAACATAACAATTCTTGCCTTTCTCCAGTACCGTAGGTACCGGGATAGCATTAATTGTGGGGCAGCATGCCTACAAGTGTTCTAGTCTGCTGTTAAATGCGAAAGGAAGAAAAAGAACCTCTACTAGCACTCAAGAAAAACACCTGGAAGATGGCGACAAGTGCAGTTGCAGCAGAAAAGTGTTTTTCCTGAGGTGTGCCTATCTTTTAATTCTTTGCAATGGGAGCACTTCATATTTACACTCTGCTACAAACACCAGTAGTGTAGAGGTCTCTGCGTCTATTCTGGACGGAGCTCTGCAGGTTTGGTGTTATTCTCTGGTTGCCAAGGCTTGAATAATAATCAGTGTTGGTTAAAATGCTGTGCTCGACACTGTCAATTTTTGGTTTTGTCTCTTACCTATTATTATTGTTATAATTATTATTTTTACTGTGGTAGACAGATGATGACTCACACAACTTTGGTGATTCCCTGACTTTTCCTCCAGCACAACCATAGGGCTCACATTTGTAACTCTGAGTGTGGCTTTGGAACTTTACTTTAGAATAAATCACTAATTTTTTAAAGTACCATAAGCAGTTTTTCATTTTCTTTATATACTTAAGCTTACCGTGTGTATGTTGTAGCCCTCATAGAAGTGGAATCTCCCCTTCATGCAGACACACTGACGGCCCTGCAGCTTCCCGAACACCAGCTGACCAGCATGGCCTGACACTGCACAGCACAGTATGACCAGCTCATGTTCAGTTTCCATCCACTTATAATAAGTTGTAGATAAAAAGCAATTTGTCACAGACAACTTACCAGTGCTGGTGGGAAAATGTGGAATATCCTTGTAGGGAACCACAGTCTTGTCAGTTAACAGGTCAGCTAGACCGCCCAGGCCTGAACCACAGATGATGGCTACTTTAGGACGCTGCTCTGTGTGGGCCAGCAGCCAGTCTGCTGTCTCTTTGTACTCTTCATAACTGTATCTGAAAATCATGGAAATAATTCTGATTAATTTGAAATATTACTAAACCACAGCTCTGAGAGAGAAAAGTTAGCTGCATGTCTGTGTTATTGCAGCAAGTTCCATCATCATAATGGTCACAGAGGAATAAACACCATAAACACTCATCAACATCAGTCTCATGTTTAGAATTAAGAGTAATCACTATGGAGGCCATCAATGTGCTACAAACAGATGCAACACAAGCAAATGAACATATTCACCAACTTGTCAACACATGCGCAGCATTTACAAAACAGCTTCACCAACTTCACGACACACAAAAACATCAGTTTGACGACACACGAAAACGTCAACTCGACGACGCACGATAACAACCATTGGACCACACACACGCAACATTTAGAAAACATCTCCACCGACTTGACAAACGAGAACATGAATTTAACAATACATGCGCGGCATTTTAAAGCGCTGCAAGAGGCTCACAACACAGCGGAAACTGTTTCCAGGGGACACTAAAAAGTGATGCGCACGGCACGCCGTCGTTGCCATGGATATATGGTCGTTGCTAGCTTGCGAAAGTATTGAAGTCGGCTATCTGTCACCTAAAATGTAAGTATTTTTATGTCTTATTTTAAGATTATGATCGCATGATGGAGATATGATTGTAACTCTGCTCTTAACCTAGCGTTAGCCTGTTGCTAAGTTTTAGACTGTTAGAGAGCGGAGATAAATGTTAGTAGTTAATTTAAGGACCACCAGCTGTGGTTACCTAATCAATAACTGGTGAACAAAGGTCCAATTTGTAGGAGTAGAGCCATTTATTAGCAGAAATAATATGTTTTCATCAGTATATAATCACCTGAAACTAAGAATTGTTGTTTGTGGACTCCTAAAGCCATGAGTTTGGCTTGGCTGTTGCCATTACTGACCATATTTGGGAGAGAGGCTGGCACTGTGGAGGAGCGAGGGATGGACTGAGAAGCCAAGGACACTTTCAGCAGAGCAAAGTGATTTCATTTTGTTAGTTGTGTCAGCAAAACCTGCTGGTAGTTGAACTTGCTTGTCCCCTATTTCAGGTTCTACTAGTAACTACTGAGGTTATAGCCAACTGACATAACGTTAGCCTGTCTCATAATTAACCGTGTATATTTTGTGAGATTGTTTGATATTTAGTGTACCAGCCAAATTACTAGTCAAGGATGCTGATTTGATTGGAAATGCCTTGAGGTATTACATCATACAAAGTCTGAAACAGTCTGTAATTCTGGTTATAAATCTGGTTGTAAAGCTATAACCTTGTTAATGTCCCCTCTGTGCCTCGAGCTTTGTTATTAAAACACAATGACACTTCAGGCTGCAGCCTTTACCAGACCAATCTGCAGCAGGAGAGAGCCTGATGATTTTGAGCCCATTTTAGAGCTGCCATCTAAGATGACAGCTACATTAGGCTACCCTTGGGTGTTCAATCTTCCCACATTTTCCCCTTGTTTCCTTACTCGGTTCAAGCTCAAAAAGGAGCTGGGAAATCTTTCATTGCAGTAGGTATGTTGGTACCTGGGACAGGGTGAAGTCAAAGTGATGAACATGAATAATGCTCCAACTGGCTATCTGAGTGGTGACTTTATTAAAACTTTATCAAAGCAGAAGTGTATTTCTGTAGTCTCTAAAATCTGTGGGAGAATTATCAAAACACCCGACAGGTAATCAATTCATTCTAAAGCACTGACAATGACACTATTGTTGTATGGCTGCATTACTGGCCTGTCAGTTGCAGAGGTTGCCTTTCACATGATTCTTCAGGTGGTAATGGCAGTTTTACACACAAATGTACAACCACACTCACACCCAGGCAGACATGCAGTTGGCTGCTGTAAATAACTTCTGCCATCATGTTGATGTGTGATGATTCATACACAGATTCACTGTCGGTGCCAGGAAAAGGTGGGGAATGAAAGAGAGCAATTCAGGTCATTTAACCTGACAACTGAACAACCTGTTTTTGTAATCAGTGATTTATAAACCCCAAGAAATTGAAACGAGGAGATGTCAGCAGGGGTCCAATGTGTAGCCATAGCCATAAAAATCTCTTGTGTAACAAAAACAAGATGACAATTCATGTGTCTGTAATTCTGCTGTAATTTATGTTAGATATGATCGTCACTGAAATGTTCTTATCAACAAGGCAGATGGTAAAGAAAATTTTTGTTGTAGATGTGTCCTACTGCTAAATTTACTAATAGACAACTAGACTGAATACACTAACAGCTAATAACAAAGAAAAGTGTTTAAACAATTGATAAAATGACAATGGCTAAACCTCTGATATATGCTCCTTTCATTAAAGATCTGGTGTGTAGGATTTAATGCTATATGGCAGTAAGGGTTGCAGATTACAACCAAATGAGATTTCTCCCATGCGCCTAAAGTGTCGGAGAACTATGGAGGCCAACATGAAAACACAAATGGCCTTATAGAGCCAGTGTTTGGTTTGTCTGTCCTGGGCCACTGTAGAGCAAAATGGTGACTCGGTGGAAGAGGACTCACTCTGTATGTAGATCATGGATGTATAAAGAGAACTGAATACAGTGTTGGAGGTGGGCCCCATTTATTCCTATGAAAGTTGCTCAGTTGCGCATGAAGCCAAAAAAGTTTGACTTTTCAGATGTAAAATTACTCAGATCTTCTGCATCATTGGGCCTATAGTGCAAGTGCACTGACACAAGCCCTTTGCTAACTTGAATGGGGATAAAATGATTTGATCTTGCACCTCTTCCAGAATTTAAAAGGTTATTGGACCGAAAGGATCCAATCCTGATGGTGAAAGGAGTCATTTCACAGGAATTATGACGCTCAGAAAGGTTTTGCACAATGTCTGTGGGGAAAAGCCCTTTAGGCCCAGTAGCATGACACAGTGGTCCAATCCAATGTTTGGCCACTAAAAAATGTCACTTCAAAGCCCGACGCACTTCCAGGGGACCTGATGTAGATATAAACAGCTCATTTTAAGGTAACAAAAAGACAATGAGTTTGCATCTTGTTGGTCAAATAATTCCTCTGCTGTTAAAACAATTTACACATAACTAATACGAAGTGCTGATGCTAACTTTTTAGCTAGCTATTCTTTTTGTCCACCACTGTGGTAGCATTTTATTTTGTTTGACTAAAACAGATTGTTCTTGTACTCTTAGCACCATAATTCTACAAATAAATACTTAAATACCCCGTTGTTAACTAACAGCCCCAATGCCCCTTAACTGCAAATTACTGAAGCTAAGTTCATCCTTTTACACCTGTGGATCATAAGACGACTGTGTGAATTTAATTTATTTAAAACCTTCTAACTTTGACCAAAGTTACCCTTTAAATACATTAATAATAATTTTTCACCAAAACGTGTCAAATTAGGGCGGCACAGTGGTGAAGTGGTTATTGCCGCCTCTGTGCAGAGTTTACATGTTGTTTCCCCTTGTCAGCGTGGGTTTTCTCTGGGTACTCCAGCTTCCTCCCTGATACATGCAGTTTGGGGTAAGTTAACTGGTGACTCTAAATTGTCCGTAGGTGTGAATGTGAGTGTGAATGGTTGTCTGTCTCTAAAGCCCCTTTTACACTGCCAGATTTTCCGCGAATGTTGGGCCATTTTGCTGGCAAGCTGCGAGCGTTTAGACACACAGAGCCGGATTGGCGAATTGATCTGAGGTGTCCAATTTTCTGCCTCATAGGGTAGTCATATTGGCGGAACCCTTTTAGTTTAAACAGACCGAGGCGGCCTTCTGCAACGGGAGGAGCTGTTGATGACGCCGCACGTGCGAGCCACTGGTGGTGGATAAACAGGAAACAGCTGATAGCAGGAATTAGCGAGCAGCTAGTAGCAAGAGGGAAACGCAAACCTGACAGACACTGTAAAGATAAGCAACTGGGGAGACAAGGAATTGTGCGCCCTCCTTGCCCTCACAAACAAAGAGGCCATTAACCGTCAGATGACAGGAATGGTGAGGAACGGGCCGACTTACGAGAGAATCAGGACTGACTAGTCGCAACTTCCCTCCCACGTCACTGGTTACGTGACTCGCTGAGCTACACGTTGTGTTACTTGCTCACGCCCCTCATTGCCCCAAAAAAGGCGCATTCTGTACAGTCCCTGACAAAAGTCTTGTCGCTTATCCAAGTTGTAGGAACAACAAATAATAACTTGTAGTTGATCAATTGGAATCAGAAATGGCTTATATGAAAGGCAAAGGCCTCTAGATTATGCTTATTATACCAAAATAAAGTTGTACAATCATTCACTGAATTTTATCATTTAATTAGGACAGAAAGGTCAGATCTTGCTTGGACAAAAGTCTTGTCGCATACAAAAATAATGTACTGTAGAAATGATACTTTATTTTGAATACACAAACATGCTCCAATAACATCAGAACATAAAGTCATGGTGCCTTGGGAAAAAGAATTAATATCGTGTATGACTCCCATGAGCTTGGAGGACTGCATCCATACGTCTCGGCAATGACTCAAATAACTTATTGATGAAGTCATCTGGAATGGCAAAGAAAGCAGTCTTGCAGGACTCCCAGAGTACATCAAGATTCTTTGGTTTCATCTTCCAAGCCTCCTCCTTCATCTTACCCCAGATATGCTCAATAATGTTCATGTCTGGTGATTGGGCTGGCCAATCCTGGAGCACCTTGACCTTCTTCACTTTCAGGAACTTTGATGTGGAGGCTGAAGTATGAGAAGGAGCACCATCCTGCTGAAGAATTTGCCCTCTCTTGTGGTTTGGAATGTAATGGGCAGCGAGAACCTCTTGATACTTCAGGCTGTTGATGTTGCCATCCACTCTGCAGGTCTCTCGCACACCCCCATACTGGATGTAACCCCAAACCATGATTTTTCCTCCACCAAACTTGACTGTTTTCTGGGTGAATCTTGGGTCCATGCGGGTTCCAACAGGTCTTCTGCAGTATTTGCGGCGATTGGGATGCAGTTCAATGGATGATTCATCAGAAAAATCAACCTTCTGCCACTTTTCCACTGTCCATCCTTTCTGCACGCTGTGGGCCTTGGCAAATGCAGCACGATTCTTTTGTTGTCTTCTGTTTAATGCTGGTTTGTGAGCAGTAATTCGGCCATGGAGACCATTGCGTGAGAGAATTCGACAAACTGTTCTGGTAGATACAGGGGTTTCTGGTGACCAGTTCTGATGTAGCTCTGCTGCAGTTGAAAAAGGGCTGGCCCTGGACTGCCGAAGCAACAAATGGTCCTCTCTAACAGTTGTGTTACGGGGTCTGCCTGACCTGGGCTTGTCATGAACGTCACCAGTTTCTTCAAATCTTTTTTTTATCCTCTCCACTTGACGTTTGGATACACTGAAGATGTCTGCCACCTCAGCAGCAGACTTGGTCTTCAGTCTTTTGATGATCAGCACTTTGGTCTGTGGTTGAATCTTTGGCATGTTGTCAGCGGTCAGGTTGCACTTCACATGAAGGTCTGGTGTGCTGGGGTTCTTTTTATACACACCTGGGAATGTGTTAATTACAGTATTTGTCACAGGTGGAGCTCTAATCTGTGATTGGTTGAATCGTTTAAAGACATGACAAGACTTTTGTCCAAGCAAGATCTGACCTTTCTGTCCTAATTAAATGATAAAACTCAATGAATGATACACAACTTTATTTTGGTATAATAAGCATAATCTATAGGCCTTTGCCTTTCATATAAGCTATTTCTGATCCCAATTGATCAACTACAAGTCAGGTTATTATTTGTTGTTCCTACAACTAGGATAAGTGACAAGACTTTTGTCAGGGACTGTATAAACAAAAGTAGGTAGGCGGCATTTTGCCACACTCCCCGATTTTGTTTTTATACTGCCAATGCTGAAAAAAGACTGATTGGGCTTTCCTGCAAATTTGCACAATTCCTATCTAAAAACAACTTATGTGTCAGCCCTATGATAGTCTCGCGACCTGTCCAGGGTGTACCCTGCCTCTCGCCCCATGTCAGCTGGGATAGGCTCCAGCCCCCCTGGAGGAGGGGGAGGAGGATAAGCGGTTACGGACAATGAGTGAATGTCAAATTAGTCATTGCAACTAATGAAACTAACTTGAGATGTTTTTTTCCACTGTTATTTAAAGATTTTGTTCTTGCACTTAAAACTATTTGACTCAGTGAGTTGAAGCGAAACTTCCAAATATGTCATACCTTTAAACCAATAGGTATCATTTTAGAATTATATTTGGGCTATTTCGTATATTTAATGAGTAGAATACTATTTTAATTACCAAAAGCAACTTTAATGTCTTTTGTACTTTTATTTTTGTGCGTTTTTATTCTTCAGATGCTTTTTCTTTTTGTACTAGTGCCTATTTATTAATTTGTGGATTTTTAAAAATATCTCTGTTTTATTGCTTCCTTTTTTCTTTTTCTAACAAAAACAAAAAAAACAAACAGTCAAGTCATATTTAATGATCAGGCAGGTAGCACATGCCTTTGAAAGCACAGTAGGCCTATGTATTATGTAATAGCAGAGTAAGAAATTAAACTCAGAGCAGGAAGTGAGCTCGTGGGCTCTCCAGGACCGGCAAGCTGCGCGCGGAGCTGTCCGTGGTACTGCCGGAACTTTGTGTTCCAGGCACGAGAGCACAGAGAGGCTGTGTGTTTTACATATTTGGAAGACTCAACACGTCCAACCAGTTCGGCCAGCCTGAGCGGATGTTAAACTCCGAGGCTGTCAGTGAACTAGGAACACGGACACACACATTACAAATGAAATAAAAATGATTTGTTCATGTAGAGAGATAACAGACTTTATAATTACGACATAGCCCACATACCACCTGGGACACACGATTACGTCAGAGTGACAGGTGTCATCCTGGAGGGAAAGCCCCCATATGCTACTAATCCTCAGAATGAAGCGTTCATGTCACTGTATTGGCTTCTCTACACAATTCTCAAACAGCACAATCCAAAACAAGATGATTATTGTACACTTTACTGATTACAAAATCGTTATGCTGTAAACAACACTGGATACCTCTTAATATGATTAGACTACAGGGTAGCCTTGACAACAGTGAGGCTCATTTCACTCCGGTCCACCAACATCCAGCCTTATCGGTCTTACCTGCACAGACCGGAGGAGGAGGAGGAGGATGCCGCTTCCATATCTGATGATGAGCGTTACCAATCTACTGATTAGATGCTGTTTGTGTCGTGTTTGACAGACGCTTCCCGTGCTGAGTTGACGATAATGTAGCAGCTGATTGAGACTCTGCTGCTGCGGACGGAGTGGCGGAGGTCATGGCGCGTGCCAACGTCACTGCGTACGGGGCGAAGGGGCGGGACCTAAGTTGAATGCCGGTCCCTCTGAAGAAGACCGTAAATCCTATTTTCTACTAGGCTGGGCAGCTCACTGATCCGTTCACTGACAGAGACGGGGCTGGGAACAGAGGGAGAAACAATGAGAGAGCAACAGAGGGAAAGACCAACACAAAGATGAGGGAAACGATAAGATGAGCAACTAATAAATGCTACAAGTCACAGAGTTTGGTTAAACACCTCAGAACCTGCAAACTGCTTAATATGTTTGAACTGAAACATGTTGTAGCCTGCAAGTAGTTTCCCTCCCTCACTTTCTCCCTCACACACAGACACAGACACACACACACAGGCTGCATAACAATTCAAAGTGCTGACTCATGGGTTAGAACGAAAAGAATGAAAGTGAGAGGAAACACAAAAAGTGAGTACCAACAGCTGTTGTCAAGAGAACTATAAACCAATATGGTATAATGAAACATCAACAAAACTCTGCACTGTATGCTCTGTAGTGCAAACTATCATTCCATGTTAACACTTTATGGCTTTATGATTTAAAACACTGTCAAGTGAATGAAAATATCCAAGGCTGTAGGACACTGAGATTATATGTCCTCCATATTTCTTTCTTGGAATTTCAGGATTCAGTGGAAGAGTTTAAAAAAAATCAATAAGCATAATTAACTGTGTTTCTAGCAATGTGGAGAAGGCTTTGGAATTGCATTTGACTTTCATGTGAGGTTCACATGTCATTACAATTTCATTTACTGACATTAAGCAGTGGGACAAAATATACAAATATAACTGTATATTGTCAGTCACTGACAATATACTGCAATAGATACATAAACAAATACATTCCTAGATGGCAGCCCGTGGGAAAAATATTAATCAGTGATGATCTAGGTTAAAGATTAGTGACCTCTGTAAGATATCAGTCCAAATAAAACTGCCATGAACACAGTTAGTCAAGAGGGATAAATAAGTGGATTTGTAAAGTTGTAGACTCAATTAGGAATTCCTGCGCTGTCATCATGCTCACTGGGCTTTCAAATCCCCTTTGTAGTCTCACTTGTCCTTATAATGACCCTCTTGAACACACACACACACACACACACACAGAGTGCAATTCATGTTGGTTATGTGTGAGTGAGTGAGTGAGTGAGTGAGTGAGTGAGTGAGTGAGTGAGAGTCGGAGTGGGAAACGTTCATAAGGTTGTTTGATAAAAATAAGATGGGACATATAATTTAATATGATAATGTTTCTCTTTATTATTTTAATTGTGGTCTAATATTTATTACTTCCTCAGTTGTGTCCATAGATTATCCATCTCACTAATTGTTGGATTTTTCATAGTCTGCAATGAACCACATCTCGATATCAGTGAAAAAGGCCAAGACAAGCTGCTTGAACTTGACTTAAGGTCAAGTTGTCTGTAACAAATTCCATTTAACAAGTGTTAAAATTGTACTTGAAATAAAACAACCAAAACAACAACAACAACAACAACAAAAACAACATCAACCCATCAACAACAACAACAACAACATAAAAAAAAGTTAAAATTATACTTAAAATATTCACTGAAACACTGATTGTGAGGTAGGTACTTGAACATTACTTGATTACTTGTTTTTTATACTTCTGCCAGAGGTAGTGTTGAAGTTACTATTTACTTTACCACATTTATTTTAACTCTTTATCTCACAGATTAAAATTTTACATAGGCTACAAAATGTTATTATCTTTTAAAATATAATACACTTTTAGGCTATAGATACATTACAGGACAGTGGGCTATGAGCAACTGAAACCAGCTCAGCATCAACTTGTGATCGGGTATTTTTACATTCTGGTAATCCTATTTAAAGGCTACTCAATTAAAACACCTATTTTTCGATCATAGAGTTTGGCTGATTCAGCTTTGAACTCACAAGAACCAGGTCAGTTAGTTGAGACTGTAATGTAATTTATTGTTTTAAGCGGCTGTTCAGTACTTATGAGGGGGGAAGGGGTGGTGCAAAAAGGGGGAGGCATGTCAAACATTTTTTAAGCACTGGGGATGGACTTAGGTTTTTTATTTTGGCTTAGTTGATAGGCATTCAAATTAAAATGGTTGTATTTTGTTTTATTTTACTGCAGATTTTCAAGGAAACATGCCCTCCAAACCTGCCTGGGTTTGCAAGAATGGCCAAAATTAAACCATTTATCACAGTCAGAAACTGTAAAAACAGAAATTATTGTTGGATTTTCATATTTTCAATTGTCCTCGGACACATCATATGCAGTGGAACTGTGTCAGAAAAAAATAGTGATACTATTTTATCAAAATCACTTTATTCGTCATTTTATTTAAAAATGTGGCCTAAAATAAACCATTTACACTAATAAAGCAGCATGCATGACAAGGGTGAAAAACCAAGGCTTTTTTTTAACTCCAGGATTTTGTCTTCAACTGTGAACTTTAAACTTTCAAACTTCAAAGGGTAAGTTTTTAAAAATCTAATAACTAATTTATGGTGGAGGGAGAGTCATGCATTTGTGAACAGGGTGAGAGGCTCAAGGAAAATATTTGTAGCTTTAGGGAGGTTGAAAAAAAAGTCACAACCCAGCCACCCCACTCCTCTGATAAGTAAAGAAGAGTCCCTCACCTAAAGAAATTGGATTATTTTGAGAGACGATGCCAGATTGAGGGAGTTCTTTCTTTTCAACGTTTCAGAGTCGCCTTTGTCTCATGATGACTCCTCAGAAAACGGCATTAGTTTCGATTTTCCTCAAAACGTTCCCCTTTTTAATAGACGTGTTGTATGAGACAATGCACCACTTTGCAGCAAGTTTGTGTTACAGCCGCAAGCCAATCATAGAACAGATTACTGGGAGGTCGTTGAGTGTGTTGCCAGGGCGACAAACCACAACGAAGTTGTGAAGCCGCTGTTTATTCACCCAAAGGAGTGGTAGATTAATACTTAATTATTTTTTGTCAGTGCAACGAGACAACATGTTTAACTGGTAAGTTTATTGTGACGGTAAGTGACGGAAGAGAAGCGTTAAACAGGATAAGTTAGAAAACATGTAACAGCCTAATGTAACGTGACAGCGAGTCAACGGGTTGACTGAGGACCTAAGCAATGTAATGCGAAGTAGGCTTTTTTCTAACTTTGGTCAGGATGAGCTAACAGTTAAGCCCATATATAATTGTAATTATACGTAATTAACTTCGCGGACAACTTTTTCAGTTTGAAGTAAGCTTAAAGCAAATTTCCTCTAAAAGTATCGAAGAGGCTTTGATGACGATAACTTCTAGTTACCTAGTTAACGTTACTGTTAGCATATATAGCCTAGCTAACGTTACATTAGCATGACATCAAGAAAAAGCAACGTCTTTTTTAAAACTGCTTTCCCTTCTCTTCTCTTCTCTTCTCTTTCTTGCCTCTTTTCTTTTTTGCAGGTGAATGTGTGCTTCAAAACAAAATGACAGCCATTCAGTTTCCCCCAAGAACGAAGTGGTTAAAGAGCGAGATGCCTCTCAAGCCAAAAAGGGTGAGGATACCCTGTCATGACATCTTGTAGCTTCACACAGAATTAGAAGTATCCAGATAAAATGAATCAGATCTTGAAACCATTTTTTTCTCATGAATTATCAGGGGGCCCAATTTCCTGTAACCCACGTTTTGGACATGGTCCCATTCTGTTAAAGAAGCTGCTTCAAATGAGAGATTGTCCTAATAATTACCTTGGCTTCTTATAGGCAACAAAAATCAATATGTGACTGCAGTGCTTTGTTGCAGTGACCTCAGCTCAGCAATTTTAGGCCTCTGCTCTCTACTTAGCTGCTTGTCTCTGTAACGTTACCTGGAGTAGGTGACAAGAGTAGGAGGTACTTTTACTTTACTGAGGCCCAGACTTTTTATAGGGCAAAATATGATCCACATAAAAGTGATTATTTGTCCTTACAGTTGGTTATACTTATTTCAAGTTTGGTGATAACTTATTTTTAATCCTCTAACAAACCCTGGTTTCCTCATTGTCTGGGCAATAATAAAACCGAAGCCAGTGCATACACTTATTAATAATTTGACAATAGCATTTTCTAATATCTAAATATTTCTTAGTTGCTTTAGTAGTTTAAGCCTTCTGTATTCCTCTATATCTGATGGTAAGTGTGATAAACACAAATATAGTTGGACAATAATATGCCCTTCCATCCATCCATTTTCATCAGCTTATGCAGGGCTGGGTTGTGGGGGCAGCAGGCTGAGAAAGTACTCATGCCGTCCCTTTCCCCAGCAATGCTTTCCGGCTCTTCCTGGGGGATCCCGAGGTGTCCCCAGGCCAGATTAAATATATAATCCCACCAGCGTGTTCTGGATCTACCCCGGGGCCTCCTACCAGTTGGACATGCCCAGAAAACCTCCAAAGGGAGGCGCCCAAGAGGCATCCTGATCAGATACCTGAACCACCTCAATTGGCCCTATTGGATGCAAAGGAGCAGCGGCTCTACTCATAGCTCCCTCTGGATGTCGGAGCTACTGCCCCTATCTCTAAAGCTGAGCCCAACCACACTACGAAGGAAACTCATTTCGGCCACTTGTATCCACAATCTCATTGTTTTGGTCACTATCCAAAGCTCATGACCGTAGGTGAAGGTTGGGACATAGATGGATTGGATAAATAAAAGGTTTGCCTTCTGGCTAGGGCTGCCACGATTAGTCGACTAATCAATGACTAATCAACTATTAAAATAATCGGTGACTATTATAGTAGTCGACTAATCGGTTTGAGTCATTTTTCATAGAAAAGTACTATAAAAGTACCCCAAAATACTCTTACTGCAGCTTCTTACGTTCAGATATTGGCAGCTTTACACACTCTCCCGTGACAGTGAACTAAAAGCCTTTGGCGTGAGTATGAAACAAGACATTAGATGATGTAATTTTGGGGTTTGGGCGAAACAGACCGACATTTTTCAACATTTTAACACATTTTTCGATGAAATGATTAGTCGACTAATCAAAGAAATAATCGACAGATTAGTCGACAATGAAAATAATCGTTAGTGGCAGCCCTACTTCTGGCTCAGCTCCCTCTTCACCACAACAGTCCGGTGCAGCGCCCACATCACTGCTGATACCACCCCAAACCGCCTATCCATCAGAATAGATGGAGACGGACAATTAAATGTATCAATGGTAAATAAAGCAGTGGAATAATTATATCCCACAGCACAATATTCAATGCTCTGTGGGCTATTATGCCTGCATCTCTTCATGCCAACACCACATGATTACTATTTAGGAGAAGTCATCATTTAAAGAGAAGCCTCTTGCCTTTTAAAGAGCAACTTTGTTGTCACTAAATAATACAGTGTTGTGTGTTATGGATACACACCTAACTGGCAGCTATTGAATATTGTATATACAGTAACCCCCTCTGCTAAATTATTCATTTAGATTTTAAGCTAAAATCCATCTGACCTAACCTTGAAATAGGCTAAGTGCAGTTAGATGTTTCTTTACGTCTGATGCTCTGATAAAGAGGTGCCAGAGGATTGTGTGGAGAGGATATTAACCACAAAATGCTGCAGGTTGTCCTCACTGAAGAAGAGACTACAGACACTCTCTAAGCACATGAAATCAGTTCATGGAAATGTTCTTAATGCAGGCCTCTGTGCATATGTGTCATAGCTGACAGCCTTAATGAGACAGTCTACAGCTCTTGTGCTCATTGTCTTTTTCCCATTTTCTCCTTTAGTGATAACAGTCTTCTTTGATGTGGTGCCTCATCACTGCTAAATTAAGAGACAGGAAACAGGCTATCAGTTAGCTTAATAGCCTGAACTGCTGTGTGTTTGCAGGTGACTCCATCTGTTTACACCCAAGAAATGTTGCAGTCTACAGAGGAACGCCTGGCTAACACCAACGAGATGCACCAGCCCCGCATCCTGGAACTGCTTGACATGAGCAAGACTACGCATCACAAAGTAACTGCCAGTCAATGTTGTGACATGTCCATAGCTAAAAGCTAAAAAAACAACCAGAAAAAAAGATAATCGCAGATGGTAGCAGTGATAGTGAAAGGTTACAATAGGCATAGATAACTAGGATGATGAAACTGGTTAAACATGTCATTGTTTTATTTGAGGTTGAAACAAAAACTATGGACTGTTCCAATTCCACCAGCAACAAACTTGAGAATGACAACGGCCTACTTCAAAAGATAAAAGTTGGACAGGAGTTTGCCATTATCACTGCCATCTGCAGAGAGGCCTCAGCTGCTGACTTTGATCTTCATGAGAATGAAACCCTGGGGAGTCCACTGTAACATTTAAGACTCAAAAATACATTGAAACCTACATTTGATTTAGACAACCTGTCTCCTCACTTCAAAAGACTTTCAGACCACAAGGATATATAATAAGGTATATAAAACTTCTTCTAACAAAATGTTCCCAGTGGTGCTGAAAGTGTACTTTTACTGTAACATTGGAGCATTTGTACTGTAGACACACACTTAAGCACAGTTGCCATACTTAGTTTAACAGTTGAGTCAGGTGTGAGATCAAATGGACTGAACCTATATGTGAATTAATAGATATATCTTAATACAATGGATATTGGTGACTTTTTGTAAGGGTAGATGAGACTACAAAAAAGACACCAACATTCAAACATCTCATTATTTCATCATTAATCCCCTGCATTCAGAACATGTGCTGTCTGCTAAGGTCATTTACATTGTACCAAAGTTGCTTCCCCTTAGTCAGCAGGCACTAATTGATGGGCAAAGGGCAACCAATGTGACTGAATGCTCTGTACTTTTAGAGTCAGAATTTAACAGAGGGGGGGCTTGGAGCAAAATACCATCAAAAGTTTGTGAAATGTCTATGAAATTAATAAATGCCCCCTCATCATAATTAGAAGGAGCCATTTTTGCATCTCACCCTGTTCACATTTTTGTTGACTTGTCAGATATGCTAATGTGAATCCAAATAACCCCCACTGTGGGCCACTGCAGGTGACCAGTGGGAGCAATGACCAGTAGGATCTTTTTATGTCATCCTGAGAGCCACAAAATTGCACACTTTAATATACAGAGCAGTATTATTTTCTTTCTATGACTGGCAATGATAGAGGACAAATGAAACTCACTCAAGTTAATTCCAAGAGGCCATATCTTCTCGTACATATTATAAAGTCTTGGTTAAATTCTCTCCTCAAATTTGTTTAAATGTGTGTTCCTGAGCACTTTGCCAATATAATCTCTAATCTATCCATCTGACAGGTGTAGCAAATTCTCAAAAACGTCATTGGAGATTGCTTATGGCAGTGAAATGAACATTCGGTTAACTTGCACCAGCTCTGTTGGACATTCCTGCATCAGCATGCCAATGGCACGCTCCCTCAAAACTTGCAACGTGTGTCGCATTGTGTCGTGATAAAACTGCACATTTTAGAGAGGCCTTTTATTGTGACCACCCCAAGGCACACCTGTGTCATAATCCTGCTGTTTAATCAGGATCTTGATATACCACAGCTGCCAGGTGGATGGATTACCAATCATGTATCATGTTTTGTTTTTAGGAAAGAGTTATTTTATGCTTTGTGTGTCTGTGTGTGTGTTTTAGTTGTCCTTGGTGGATATTGATCATCCACTGTTCCAGCCCTACCCGTCTGAGCTAGTCTTCCAGAACTTCACTCCTGCACAGACCTACACGTTACCTCTACTTCTCTGCAACAATGACAAGGTGTGTAAATGAGTAACGAATAAATAAATAGTTACACTAACAACATGGCTGCTGAACCGATGTTTCAGTCATGATTAGTTGTGAAATGGAACAACAGGAACAGTTCAGCCTGAGCATAGCTTTGATCAAAGCAGGCGAAAAAAGTGTGTGTGTGTGTGTGTGTGTGTGTGTGTGTGTGTGTGTGTGTGAGTGAGAGAGAGTCATGGGGTGTGGGTTGTGTGTACAGAGAGAAGAATGATTGGAAAAGGTCATGGGGGATTGGTGGAGATTTATCACTGCAATTTGTACAAGAAACCATCAAGTAATAATGAATAAATCATCACTTGTGTGTACCTGGGTCCGTGTTTGTTGCTGTGTGGGGTTTGCAATTTCATAACGTTTGTAGGATGTTATTTTGTCAAGGTTTCACGACAAGTGAAGTTGGAGCTGGAGGACTCAGAGTATTTCCATGTGGTCGGTCCAGAGGATGCAGGTTGCAAGGTTGCACCAGGACTGTCTGCTACTTTCACTGTCATCTTCACCCCGCAGGAGAACAAGGTACTGGAGACAGAGGGCAGTTTGACTGCTCCATAGAATAATCATAAACAAAAGGCTAGATTTAGGGAATACAATGAAGTAACAAGGTAACCTGCACTTAAGAGGCTGATATAGAATTTAGATAAGATGATTTGATGAAGTTGTAATCAGGTCTGTAGGTAAGAAGAAGATAGGTTGTGGGTAAGAATGTGAAATTAACCACTCCTTGTGAAAACAATAATATAGCGAAATTACATAAATTAAATAGATAATATGAAATTAATGACAGCTGATACATCAAAATGGAAGCACTTACTTTGCATTCATATTCTGTGCACATATCTCTTGCAATGGCCAGTTTCAGAGTTAGAGGTAGAACGTTAAGGGTCAAGGGTCAGGCATTAGGTTACACTAGCACATCCTTTTGTCCACTGTTTTACTGATACTGCGGGAGAAAGTGAAACCTGAGAAGCAAAGGTCAACATGAAATGTAGTAACATTATATTAAAGGTAACATAATACCTCGTGTGTGTCATGACTGTTTGACAGTGGTCGCCACACTTAAAAGTTTTTAGCTTTTTAGATAGCTGACTCTAGGGATGGCAAAGAAGGTCACTCAGTGGGTCCACAGGCCAAAGATACTATTGCCATGGATTGCCATGAAATTTAGTACATTCATGCTCACCAAGGGATCAATCTTTATGACTTTGGTGATCACCTGAGTCTTCTCTGGCTGTACCATGAGGCTGATACAAGTGGCTTTTATTGAAATCTCTCAATCACTATAAGATGGATTGTTGTGAAATTTGGTTACAGACATTAATAACGCTCAGGGCCCAGCTGTTCAAAAGTTGAGCCTAGATCAGAATGATTTGGATTTGAAAAATCCCATGTTTTACTATCCAGGATCAGCTAATCCATCTTGCTTTTGTGCCAGTTTTTCAATGCCACATTGGACTGGATCACCCTGATCCAGATAGACTTTTCAAGATTACAAATTCTGTATGAACAGTGCTCTAAATGAGACTGCCAACTATGTAAAGAACAACAGGTAGAGCAGCCAGTATGGGTCACTCTAAATGTTTTTATTTAAGAAGACATAAAACGGTGTGGGGGATGCTATTTTTAAGAAAATCCTTCATGACTATGTCATTACAATCAATATAAAGTGATGAATGAAAGTTAAAATTAAAGTAATAATCCGAAGATTTTCATTTTAATAAACGCATGTTAAGTCACTATCTTTTCCGTGGTGAAAAGATCAATGGTGATTGAGCCTATGGCCCTCTGATGAAAGTTTGCAGTGTAACGAACTGGCTGTCTGTGGTGACATTCCTGGGAAAACTCTATATGCGGTACACAGTCATTAATTATATGCTCTCACACTGTATGCTGTAGTAACCCTTTCAACTCACCAGCTGCACAGCTCATAGAATGAGCTGATAGAAATAAATTCACCAGCCAATAAACACATTGCAATTACCGCTTATTGCCATGAATGCTGCCAAAGAGAATGAGATGGAAATCTTCGAGATTGTAACTTCAGATAATTTTTGTTTGATATTGACAGCTATTTGGAGGATTATTTTATGGGGACAAAATCCTTTATCTATTGCTTTTTTCTTTTTTTTTTACTTCACTGTACTGAAAGACTTAATAGGTAGCCTAATGTCTACTTTATCCACTTTAACACTGTAGCGGTTAAACAAATCAAGTGCAAAATATAAATAAATGTGGATGTCTTTGACTAATTTAAAAGTTTTATTACTTTTTGTTCCTGGAAACCATCCTGAATCTGACCTTTAGCTTGCATCAGGATAATCCTATTTTTTTTTTTTTTTTGTATCAAAGGTATTCTAGTTCTACTGAAAAACTTTTGTACAACACATGCTGAAGGTTTAAGCTAGATTAAAACCGAGACTTTCTTACATGATCTAATCTGATTTCAGAATCCTTTTCTTCTCTCGCACAACCCGTTTTCAAGATTTGATCCAACTGATCACCGAAATCCAATCAATTACTTTTGGACTACTGGGCCCTGTGCTCAGGACGGATGGTATTAACTTATATCCTCTGACTATTCATCTAGTATCATCATCAGGTTAAACCTTTATTTTTTTTAAACACTGATTTATGGCAAAATACCTGCAAAACTAATAAAATTCCTCAGCTATACTTTGTGTTTAATGCTTATTAGCAAATATTAGCTACACCCTCAACTAAGATGGTGAATAAGGTAAAACATTAAACCTGCTAAACATCCATGCACTAGTGCTGTTATTGTGAGCACGCTGATTTTAGCATTTAGCTCAAAGCCTCACTGTGCCTACACATAGCCTCAAAGAGTTGTAGCGTTTTGTTCTTGCTGGTTTTGTGGTAGTAGTATACAAACATGTTACAGTAGAGAATACCAATATCAATGGTTTTGTAGCTAATTTACTAAAAAATCAGTGTGTGTGTGTGTGTGTGTGTGTGTGTGTGTGTGTGTGTGTTTGTGCTTGTGTTTCCGTCCAGGACTAATTTTGATGACAGGCGAGTGGCTCATCATCACCTAACAAATACATAAAAAATACGTGTGGAGCTTGTTTGTTTGACACATTTTTCTCATTTTGTCCATGCAGGACTACCACCACAGACTGGTTTGTGTGACAGAGAGGGAGCGGTTCGAGGTCCCAATCCGTGCTGTTGGGCCACGTGCCATTCTTGATTTTCGTGATGAGCTCCATTTACCTGTCTGTCCTGTGAAAGCCTCCACAGAGAGGACCCACCTAGTCCGCAACATAGGAAGCAGCAAGGCCAAGTTCAATCTAGACACACAGAGGTGAGTGTCACTACAGTAAGGGTTTTTGTCTACTCTCTTCTAGTGACTCTAGAACTATATTATTGTCCTTGGTGATAAGCACACATTTCATTAACGTTTACAGTAATTCCTATTGATTACAATTAAAGGTTTTATTGAACATTTGGGGTTCCTCTGCCAGTTTCTAAAAGAACATTGAATCTTGGCTGTTATTAAATGCTGAGCCTTAACATCTTTTCCACCCTGTGAAATTCTTTTCTTTTTTATTCCAGCCCTTTCTCAGTGGCGCCCTCCTGTGGGACTCTTGATGTAGGCGAGTGCATGCAGGTGACTGTGGAATTCAAACCCATGACTGTAGGAGACCACAGCCAGGACCTGCTTTTGCGCTACCACACCGGTGAGAAAAATCCAACCATCTGAAAATATACAAAACTCCAAAACTGTAAGCAAGCAGATGGTACAAATAACCAAAATACGTTATGACCACAGCATCTGATAAAGCTAGTGTCAGTTGTACAGTCACAAGATTTCTCAGTTTCCCAGAGCTGTAGTTAAATATTCATATTTTCATGAGAATTACCTTGTTGTAGCTCGTCTCTCATCAGCTGTAATTTTTTTTTCAACAGAGCATTTTTCAGAAACTCAGTTCTAGTATGGTCTAGAGGTGATTTTTTTTGAGTGAGTTTTCAGATGTTCCCTCTCTTATTTGTCAGAATGGGTTTCTCAATCTGTCTGTCCTCTTGTGAAATATTGTGTCACATAAATAGATTTCATTTGGCCTGATCAAAGTTTGAAGATAGCATCAATGTCACTTTTTTCTTTTCTAACACACAAATATGCACACACATCATGAACCCATACAGTCAAACTACAAACTGTAAAAAAAAAGTGTTGCCTCAACAAAGTACATTGTCTCATATCTATTACTGCATGGCCCACACATGCACACACTTACATACAACACACACACACACACACACACACACAAAACAATGGCTACTGTAGTTTCCTTTGTGTAACTCAGGGTTTGATGGCATTCACTTTTGTCGGACATGAAGACCCTTTGTTTCATTCTGTACGTCTAATATTATTGCATGTGTGTGTTTCACAGTCAGTGTCTTTTTCACATACACAGTCAGTGTTTTCCATCCTCAGACCTATGTGTAACAGCCCGGCACAATTACCCCAAGCTTGTTCAAATAACTGTGTATTGTCTCTTTTCTATTTATGTTCTTTTCGCTGCTTGATTTCAGCCCTAATAGGCTGTGTGTATAACTATGGCCTGATCCACACAGACAGTGGTATTTTTGAAAATGGGGTTTTCCCCTCCTCTGGTCTAAAAACAAAATTCTCATTCACACAGGCACTGCTATAAAAAAAGCTCATGTCAAATGAAAACATAAAACATAATTGGAGCACTGTCAGGTGCAAACAACTGCAAACAAGGTAAATTATGACTCTTTCTATTATGAATTTTTGATACCTGGAGGTTTTACATTTAGTTTTAATTATTTAAATCTTTCCTCGAGCCAAGAAAAACGATTTAAAAATCTCTGACGTCATCACAATGAGAAGTCTGTGAGCTGAGCGGAAACTCTAGGGTGAAGCCAGCCGGAGAAACACTACTGTACATATTTGTGGAAGTAAACCTGGAAGCCGTATGTGTCAAGCGAGCAACTCCATTGGACTGAATAGGCATCATCTTGGGGTCTGGTATCTAGTTATTATTATTATACATCTATGATTCTCTGTTTCTCAATATAATGGAAGAGTAACTGCACATTTTATGTATAAACATGTAAGAAGTCTTGTTATCAAGGTTAGAGGCAGCACTATTTTGGTCACATCCGCCATTGCACAAAGTGTTGCCTCATTTGTGAGGCTTCATAAAGGAGATAACACAGCACACCACATCTCAAGTCAAAAACTCAATTTTCACTGTCTACACATTAACACATTAACACTGAAAACTGAGTTTCTGGATTTATTCTGGATGGAGTTTTACAAAAGATTTGTTTCAGTGACCTAAAAACCAGTTTGCGTGTGGACAAAAGGCCAAAACACAGAGAAAAATTTACAATTTCAGATACCCCTGTGTACATGTGAACAAGACCTGCATTTGCTTGGCTGGTTTTGGATTCAGAGAGGTCCTTAAACCTTGGATGTAGTGGATGAGTAGATACTAACAAGGTACTTCGGAGCTTGTGTGTGTGTTTGTGTCCACTTGGGGCCATGAAGCCAAAGGTGACATAACTAATGGTAATGAGAGGAGAATCTATAACATCCTTAGGGAACTGGGCTGTGAACAGGGTGGGAGTTTAGCCTATGATGGGCTGTGTTGTATTGTATATACTGCTCAGTGCAGCTTTCTCTGAGAGCCTATTACTTCTCCTCTCCTCTCCTCTCCTCTCCTCTCCTTGCCACTGCAAGCTCTGATTTCTTCTCAGATTACATCTTAATGGGCTTAGCATACACCAACCCACCACTACTGTATCTCTGTTGTTTCCTGCTGTAATAGTAGTGTTAGATTTGAAAATTGGGCAGACTGGCTACACCATTTGCAAATGACTACTCAAAACTTGATTATTTGCATTTTGAATCACACAGAAACTGGTGACTATCACTAACACACCATCGTGGCTGACAGCAGGATACTATTTTAGGTGTCTCTTGTAATCAGAAAACTCAGAACAATTAAATGTTGCCATTCCATGAACATAAATCACAAAGATGTTATTTTTGTGATAAAAATCAGCTCAGTGCAGTAAACTAATGAATCATAGAACAGTAATGGCGACTTCTTGTACTATTTATACCCTCTAAATTTGTATTTATTTTTTTTTGTAATTTCTGCTCTTCTGTGATAATCTTGTTACCAGTGTGAGTGATTCCTGGGCTCTACCTACAATTATACCTGTACTTGTAACAATTTTTTACACTTCCTAGTCACACGTTATTGTAGGGTAGCCGTGGTTGCACAATTAGCTAGACTCCTAAACATCAAAGGCAAATAGATGAAGCTTTTGACTTCTTCTGTCGACACACAAGGGGATCAATTAGAGGTTAAAGAAGAAAGTTGCTGGAAAACATCAGTGCATTGCAAGAGATAATTTAACTGGGGCTGGGCCTGTTGAAAATATATATTTTTTTTTACTTTAGCTCACACCTTACATACATTTAGAAAATGGTAAAATTTAATCACTTGGATGAATGGCAAACAATTAATGTTACCTTAAGAGAATACTTTCCCTGCAAAATGACCAGTTGTATATGAACTATCTCCATGTGCTACCTTGATTTTCTGAAAAAGAAGAAAAAAAAAAGTTCTTGCATGCCTCCACGGTGAATAAAGATTCCAAAAAAGTCAACATTCTTCATGAATTGAAGTCAATGGGAACCATGTTTAACAACAGCAAAACCATATCAAAACACCAGTCAACAAACTCTAACATGACTCATACAGTATAATCCAAGTCTTATTTATCTAGTGGAATGTTCAATGCTTCCCAAAAACATGCATTTTTTATAACACATTACAACATAAAACACTCATGCCTACAAGTAATCCACCCTGGGTGTGCCTAAGCAGGTGTGTATGAGCTCCGCTTGAGTAGAGTTCAAACGCACACACATGCTCAGGCATGCTGTTCAGCTGTGTCTGAGTCTGTTGGTACTGACGTGTTTTAAATCTTGATGTTTTGGCGAACATGCATGTGTTTGGGAAGTACTGAGTAACTGGATAAATGAGACTTTAATTATAGTAAGGGAGTTGTTTGCGAGTTTGCAAACTGATTTTTTGATATAGTTTTGCTGTTGTCAAATGAGGACCCCATTTAACTGATACACAAATGGTCATTTAGCAGGTGAAGTAATCTGGAACTTTCAATGCAAAACTACACCTTGCTACACCTTACAGCAAGGGTGTCTGATCTTTTTTGAATGAGGGCCAGCTGGTTCTCACATAACAAAAAAAAATCAACAAAAACCAAAACAATAACAACAACAAAAAACAATACACACACAAATGAGACAAATACAACAAATCTATCTTTTACAGGAAAAATAGTAAACTTTCCACCGCTCTTGAAAACAGCAGCCCTTGCTGGTGTCTTAATGCTTTTTTGCTGTGGCCATGTCTTCTACCTAGCAGGGAATGTGTGCTGCTAGGTAACTTGTTGGCTTGTTTACCATCCATTTGTGAAAACACATTAGTTCTGCCAGCATAGTTCCTACTTGGTGCATGTTTACAAACTGTACGATAGTCCTGCCATTGTGAGGTGAACGGAAAAAAATGCAAAATGAACTAGCTCAATTATCCAGTATTGTGTGTCAGACCACATATATTATATTTTGAAAGACAAGCCACAGGCCGTTTGAAATGGGTCCGAGGTCTGGACTTAAGACATGACTGTCTTACAGCAACTTTGCAAACTCGGCCCAGTTTGATGGTGTAGTTTGTTATGATGGTAAAAAAGCAATTAGTCTCACATTTCTTGTGCACTCCCAGCTATGTTAGTTGCTGAAAATAGCAAACACGACTGGCTAGGTTGATTAACCAAGGGGATTCTTCATCAGAATCAAATCAGCCTCACTCCTGACCCAAGCCGGCCACATCAAAGTCTCCTTTAAAGCTAATTTAAGCTCACCGCTCCCTATAAGTCGTCTAGGTAGAATAATCCCATGGTGTTAAACAAATATGATAGAACGTCTGTGTACTGTGCAGAGAAAAGAAAGACTTGAGTTCACCCTTAGCTATACATCACTTGGGTGGATATTATACGGTGCAGCTTACTGTGAAGCACTGTGTGTGTGTGTGTCTGTGTGTGTGTGTGTGTGTGTGTGTGTGTGTGTGTGTGTGCGCGTGTGCGCACGTGTGTGCGTGCGTGTGTGCGTGTGTGTGTGTGTGTGTGTGTGTGTGAGGGAAAATTCAGTAGCATGCTGACACGACAGTCATTCTGTTATCAGTAGTAGTCCTGAAACTCGACCAAGGCAAAGTCATCTTGTGAAAAAACTGCCCGTTTATGATTGGATAATAGTGGATAAGAGCTAAACTGTTCCGACTTCAGATTTGTATTCATCCAGTGTGAGTTTATCATTTAATTATTGTGATGCAGTTCCCAAGAGCAGAGAATGACCTGATAAAATATTTATGTATAGCTTTTTAATGATGATTGTTTTGATTAAAAAACTTCAGGATCTATAGAATAAATATCTGCCGGTTGATGAGTGTTTTGTTTTTCATTTTTTGTGTATTGAAAAAGTATTCAATATTTTTTTTACCTGTGTGCGTGACCTTAAAGGAGCAGGGATGCTGACTGGCTACGTAAACAGGCAGGTCTGCTGAAGGAGTGGCAACAGTAACGGCGCTTGACGGCATTAAGCTTTTATAATGGGAGG